TAAAAGGCCTATAGACTAGCACTTTGTCTATTATAGTGTACAGGTTAGGAACCACAAGATGTAGAGGCTCAGCTATGTCATTTATGCTTCTTAAATCCAGGAGCAAATTCCATCTACCACTGGGCTGTTTTACAAACTGATCAGTTTTCTATTCAACAATTGTTATGCATTGTGGGTGAAAGTTTACAGATCAAATTGGTTTTCTATTTAGCGATTTATGTCATATCACCACCTCACATCTTGTGTCTCCTGTTTCCATTCCTCCTTTTTTCCTAATTTTTCTTGCCTTTGGATCTTTGTCATTGGAAAAACATTGCCCTTTTGATCTCAAATGGTTGATTTTTCTAAGGAGTACATAACTCTGTGTTAGGTAGTGTCTAGTTGAGTGTGACTCCCAGTTACCCTGTGAACAACACATCTGAACCTTGCCCTGTCCTGTGCCGTCTTCACCATCTCTCATACACTGGAGCCTATTGAGTCACTGTGTCAGTCCATCTTGTTAAGGGTCTTCCTTTCGTTCTCTGGCTCTTCACCTTTCTTAGTATCGTGTCTTTCCAAAGACTGTTCCCTCCTGACAACATTCCCAAAGTATGAGACGAGCTCCCTGGTTGCACTTTCTCAAAGACAGACTTGTTTGTTCTTTTGACAGTACGGGGGATATTCAGTATTATTTTTCCAGCAACACAATTCAAAGGCATAGATTCTTCTTCTGTCATCTTTATTTATTGTGCAACTATCAGATGCATAGGAAGCAGCTGAAATACCTAGACTTGGATCAAGTGTATGTTAAGTCATCTTTTTTTTTTAAATTAAATTTTATTAATTTTAATGAACATTTACAGAGATTTTTGGTTTCCATTCATTCATAGTTGTACTATTTTCTTTACCCTCCTCCCCAGTTCGTTCCTCTTTTTTTTTCCCCTTGAAAGTCTGTTTTAATTGTCCATTTGCCACAGTGCTTATCAAAGCCAGTTCTGATTAATCTCCTTTATCAGTGTGTCTTTTGCCATTCCCTATCACTCCTCCCTGAGAACGACTTCACCCTGATTCATAAGGAAAAGGGGCTTATTCTCTTAGCTACTTCCTGCTGATAAGGGGAAGATCTTCTCTCACTACTCTAAAGGGCCCCTTTGGCAATAGGAAACATGTAGACTATTGTGGAGATTGGTTTTGGAATTTAGATGCACTGTTATCAGTTGTGCTTAGCCATACATGTTCATGTCCTTGAAGAGGTATCATGGAAGTGTTGCAGCCTAGAAGACATAAATTTAACAAGTTAAAAGTACATGATTCAAAAATTAAAAAGCAATAGGGTTAAACCGGGTGGCTCCTTGGAAGCAAGGATTCTGAGGCTCCATCTAACATACTTTGGACATGTTGTGAGGAGAGACCGGTCCTTGGAGAGGGACATCATGCTTGGGAGGGTGGAGGG